TTTTTAAATTTGATGAAGGGTTTTGCATGCACCACCTTTTCAGACAATGAGTCCTAAACCTCCAAAACCCTCTGAGTGTAAAGGTTTTTCTCAAGTCCCCTCCAAACCTCTCTGCCAAATATTTTATACAAGTTATTTTGTTTATCACAATCATGACAACTGTTGGTAATTTCCTATTTCATCAAAGGGCTAGTTACCACATTTACAACTGTTTTCTTCCCCCTTCACTGTTTAATTACCTTATCTAAGTCATGGTTTAGTGCAATACGTTCCCTGATTTTTGACCTTCCCGCAACAGGAAATAGGTCCTTCCTACCATTGCTATTTGGGCCACTCATAATTTTAACTCTGAATAAATGTTCCCTCAACCTCCTCCAATAGTAAAACAAACCCAGTCTATCCAATCTTCTCTGAAAATTCTTTACTGCTGCTGAAACTTTTGCATATCCTCTCAGTGACCTCTCTGCTTTAATCACATCCATCATGTAAGGCAGGCTGGACATCGTTCCCCTGCTCTGCACACCCCCTTTCCCGGGCACCAGTTGGAGACCTGGCAGGGAGTCTACCCTCTCCTCCCAACACAAGTAACTGCCCATCAGACACAGAGTTGGCCGAGGCCTGGCCTCCCATTTGATTGTGGGCCCTGGACAGTGGCAATCCCTCTCCTGATTGGCAGCAGGGGTCCTGGAGAATGGAGACCCAGTCCCAAGCTCAGCACTGGATGCCAGGACACAGGTGAGTGAGGGTGGCAGAGGGGCCTTGTAGAGGGGAGCCATGGAGTTGTAAAAGACAGTAGGGGCTCAGAGCCAATGGCACAGGGCTGGCTTTCAGCAACCACAATCCTCCCTGACAGCGAGACCTTTGATCAGATACAGAGTGTGTTTGTCAATGAGGGATTCCACCTCTGAACAAGTCCAAAGGTAAACCTGGCTGGGTTTGTTGGGGGCTTTTGGGATATGGGGGAAAGCTAATTGTACTTTAGAAGAATCCGTGAGCCACCAATATGTTGTGGTGAACTCAGGGATAATTGACCGTAACGGCTTCATTAGTTGCCTTTCTGCTGCCTGCAGGTGAAATGGCACTTTCCCATTGTAACTGAGGACAGTTTTCAGAATCAAAGGCAAAACCTGCTGGACAAAGTCAGAAGTCACACGACACCAGGTTATATTCCAACAGGTTTATTTGAAATCATGAACTTTCGGAACGCTGCTCCTTCATCAGGTGACTCTGAACGTTTCGAGTGCAGTGACCCTTCGTTAAAACTGAACAAATTCTGATGAAAGGTCACTGGGCATGAACATTAACTCTGCTTTCTCTCCACAGATGCTGTCAGACCGGCTGAGTTTCTCCAGCAATTTCTGTACTTGTTTTAGATTTCCAGCATCCGCAGTTCTTTGTTTTATTTTGCAGTTTTCAGGATGTTGGGAATCCATTGCAGGTACTTTCGCCTGTATCTCTTGCCCCACCAACGCCAAGCAGCTCTGGCACAGCAGACTACATCGTATTGTGGCTTATCTCATATTTTATGCAGTTCTAGCATACTCACCCTGTTCTTAAAATTGATCATTCAGAAAATAAAGGAAAGAATCCCATATGCCTTCTTAGTGATCTTATCTAACTGTTGTGCTGCCTCTAGGGATATATGCATTCACTATAATGTCCTAATACAGACGCCTGTGGGTTTCCACTGGAAACTGATTAGCTCAGTTGGCTGGACAGCTGGTTTATGATGCAGAGTGAGCCCAGAGCATGGGTTCAATTGCTGCACCAGCTGAGGTTACCATGAAGGATTCTCCTTCTCAATCTCTTCCTCTTACCTAAGGCATGAAGACCCTCGGATTAAACCACCATCAGTTGGCTCTCTCTAATAAAAGAGTAACCCAATAGCCTGGTAAGACTGTGGCAACTTTACCTTTATGCCTATCAACGATTTACACAGAGAAGGAAAAAACAGTAAAACTGGGGAATGACACCCACTGATCTAACCTGTCTTCCGTATTTCAGAATGGAGGATTTATATGCTAATTCCCATGTATTACTGTTTATTCTTTTTAACTGGGTTTTCCCTATGTTTCTCTTCCATTGTGTTCTGACAGTTTGGTAGTCTGTAGTATGCTCCCAGGAATATGATTATTTGTGTCCTCAGTTCTGCCTACAAGGTTTCATTTGGTAGCATAGAATCCCTATGGTGTAAGGACAGGCCATAATGACTCTCCAAAGGGCATCCCAAACAGACCCAACCCCTTACCCTATCCCTATCCCTATAGCCCTGCATTTCCCATGGCTGATTCACCTCACCTGCACATCTTTGGACCGTGGGAAGAAACCAGAGCACCCAGCAGAAACCCATGCAGAGAATGTGCAAACTCCACACAGTCACCCAAGGCTGGGATCAAGCCCAGGTCCCTGGTGCTGTGAGGCAGCAGTGTGAACCACTAAGCCACCATGCCACCCCGCATTACTGTCTTCATAGATGTGATTGGTTTTCATCCAGTATTGCCCTTTTTAATCCTACTACACTGTCTGAAAACTTTGTAACCACGAGCGTAGAGCTCCCATTCATATGTCTTTAAACCTTGTTTCAGCTTTATTGTCACACTTTCACACAACCGCCTGAGCCGTCAGCTCATTGACATCATTCACAAGACTTTTACCTCAGTTGGCTAGGTCATTGCTTTGTGATTCAGAGTGGTGCTAACAGTGTGGGTTGAATTCCCACACCAGCTGTGGTTATCACAAAAGTCTCTCCTTCTCAACCTCACCCCTCGCCTGAGCTGTGGGTGACCCTCAGGTTAAAGCGTTACTAGTTGTCTTTCTCTAATGAGAAAGTGGTACTACGGTGACTTTATTAAATTATATGCTACTAATCGCTGAATAACACCTTAGCTACCTATTTTGTATGCATTGTTTTCTCTGTCTTCTGTACCAACTCACTGATCTCCTGTTGCACATTTCTGGTATTGTTTTACTCCTTTTTGAATTGGCTTTAGTTACCATGCCAAACTAGTTTAAACCTTCTTCAATTAAACTCGCATCAATGAGAGGTTAGAGAATAATCAGATGATGAATAAGCATAACCATAAACTATATGTCAATGTGATTGTAAAGAGTGCCCCGAATAATCAAAGAAATACATGTTTTACAACTAAAATAATCATCATTGGGTCCACTGCTGCACCAGGCTAAAGGCTGTTGTGGACCTCAAGGCTAATTTTGTTGATTATTCACATTCAACGCTTGTAATTAACTGATTTATTTTTCAAAAGCATTCTTCATTTCCTGCAGAGGTGATTTTACACTTCACATTCAGAGAAACAGTCCCTTCTATTTTACTATCAATTACTACTGCTTCCAGCATTTCAATTACAGTGATTCTTCGTAGTCTTCACATTTCCTGGCATATATAGGAGTAGATTTTAGTATAAATACAGGATTCATAATTAATGCCTCCAAAGGTAATGCCTTATTTTTTCCTTATTTAGCTCAATGTCAGATTTTGTTACATAATAATGACTGTGAAGGATTTTGGGTCACAATGTGAAAAATACTATGTAAATATAAGTTGTAGTTGTTTGCTTGCTTTAGTTATTCCAGTGGCAGTCGTCAGCCATGACAACTGTGTAATTTTGTGAGAGATTGCCTTTAAAATGTGCAGCAATGTCACTGATCAGATAACCCAATCTTCTGAATATTTTGAGGGGGTTTGGTCTAGTCCATAACATTTGTCCTGAGTGGTATTGATCTTCTTGGGTATTGCTGCACTTATCCGGGAAAGTGGAGAATATTCCCTCACACTCCTGAAATGTGCGGAGTAGATGTTGGACGGACTTAAGGAAGACAGGAGGTGAGTTACTTGCTGCAGGATTCCTAGTCACTGTCCACCTGTTGTACCTTTAGAAATTATGCAGATGAACGGTAACCCCAGATTTTTGATGGCAGAGAGTTCAGTGATGGTAAGAAATGTTAAGAGAAGATTCTCTCTTACTGGACAGGATCATTGCCTGGCATTTGTGTGGCATGAATTTTACTTGCCACTTATCAACCCAAACCTGGATATTGTTCAAGTCTTGCTGCATTTGGACATGGATTGCCTCAGTAGCTGAGGAACCATGAATGGTTCTGAACATTTTGCAATCATCAGCGTTCATTCCCACTTTTGACATAATGCTGGGAATATGTTCATTAATCAAGCAGTTGATGAGGGTTGGGCTGAAGACACTACCCTGAAGAAATGCAACATTAACATCCTGGGACTGAGATCATTGATCTCCAACAACCACAAGAATTTTCCTTTGAGCTTGGTGTCACTCCAACCAGTGGAGAGATTTCTTCTGATTTCCATTGATTCTACTTTTGCTAAGACACCTTGATGCAACACTCCATCAAATGTGACAACTTTTGAGGTGAGGAGCCCAATGCAGAACTTAAAACAAATGGCAGTGAACAACATATCATTGAGTAAGTGCCACCTGATAGCGCTGTTAGTGATATTTTCTATTATTTTACTGATAATAAAGAGTGGGTTGATGGGGCAGTAATTGGTTGGCTTAGATTTGTCCTGTTTTTGCAGGCATACCATAGCTGGGCAATTTTCCACATTGTTGGGTGGATGCCAGTGTTATAGCTGTACTGGAATAGTTTAGCTGGAGACACAGCTAATTCTGGAGCACAAATCTTCAGTATTATTGCCGGGATTTTGTCAGAGCTGGAGGCTTTGCAGTATCCAATGCCTTTGGCTGTTTCTTGATATCACACGGAGTGAATTGAATTGGTGGCAGTATAGCATCTGTAAGGCTGGGAACTTCTGGAGAAAGATAATGTTGATCATCCACTTGGCACCTCTGGCTGGAGTCAGTTGCAAATGCTTCAGCCTTTAAGAAAATGGCAAACTATTTTGAAGAAAATAATTATTTTGCCTTAAAGCAATCTTGTTTTGATATGCATTCAATATCGAAGCGTATGGGTACAGCCGTACAATATTGCCAAAACATTAACTGGTTTAATCAATGACAGAGTTTATTAATCAACTGAATTTGATTTACGCAACCCATCATTTTGAATTAATTCCACTTATCAAGAACTGTGGTTTCAATCAGATTTCACCAAGGTAACAACACTGGTGATTACCATGTTGAAAGATGATTAGTGTTGGATTTAAATTCTCCAGTCACATGTTTGCTTTGTTTTCATTCTTTAGAGGAGCAGAGAATCATTTAAAATTTACAGTTTGGAACTGACCATCCAGCCCAACTAGTTCAGGCTGGCTTGGAGCAACACCTACCCTTCTTCATCAAACACCGTAATCCTCGATTCTTTTCTTCAGTGTTGGAGATTGTAGTGAATTATTAAGGTTAATTTCAAAATGGATTCTTGAGATAGCTTGCAAGTCAATAGCATTAGAAAACCATATATTGGATATATTAAAGTCTAGTCAATAGTACATTTTAAAACTGCTATATGTAGGTTTCTATTAACCATTAGTGTGAAAGAAAATGGGCCAAGTCCAAATGACCACTCCTTTCCTATGTTCTTAGTTTTTTATTAATCTATCTGTTTTTGACACACTTTTGGGTTTAAACCCAGACCTTCTGGCCCAGAGGTAGGGACACATGCACTGCATCATGAGACCCTCTCATATTACCATACATTTGTAGGCAGAAACATAAAGAACTACAAAAATATCTTAAATATTAATACCAGAACATTTTTGATAGTTTATGACAATTATAAAATCTATGAGAAAATATTTGTTGTTCAAGATCATGTTGTTGAAGCATGAATATTTTTCCCATTTATTTCTGTCCTTCCTTCATACAGATTCATCCTTCATTTATATAACTGCCAGCATGGGAACTAATATTGTATGGATGCTCTTTGTATTTTGCCATGTGCTGGAAGAAGCAACAAAAGAAAGAAATGTGCTGATTAGATGAGATATGTTCTGTGCGCAACATTCAAAAGACAACCTGATGATGTAGTTGGGAAACATCTAGTTTACTAAGAATTGCATTGTGCACTTTGTCTACTTAAGGCTACCATACACATATACCAGTGAAAGTATCAAAACAAATGGTGTGGATGCTGATGTTCAAGCCTGGAAGACCCTCACAGTGTTTTAAATGAAAGTATTCCATATGATTTCATGTATTGCAGCAACTATATTTTCATTCTGCACTCATTGAGGGCATGTAACACACCAAGATTACTGTGCAGTTATGAAAACCAAATAACTACTTCAGAAAAAGGGATGGTCCCAGGAATTGACTGGGTGGTAGACACAAATTTAGCCATATATTCCATGTCAAGCATGAGAATTGAGGATTGATTAAGCTCCACTCAATCTGATGTTGTCATAAAGACAGATGGGAAAAATTCACAACATCATAGGATTTCAAAGCGAATGGACCCATCACCATCAGTCTCCTCACAGTCTTTGTAAAATGTCTATTTTACTGAAGTAACTTGTACCTGATTGCGATAATACAATAAACTATCTGGTTGAAGTTAAGAGCCTTTTCTCATTAAATACCTAGTGGTTCTCCCTTCTGATATTTGACCAAATAGACTTTATAGATTCAGTCAGAAGATTGGATGGGGGCAGCAATTTACCCAATCCTACATGGGAATGGTCAGCATTGCATGCTCATGTGACTTGGTGCCAGTGTTGATTGTTTGTAGAATCAGTTTAGCTGCACTCCTATGACAGCAATCACATTGTCTAATCATTATAGTTGGCACTAGATTTCTGAATTACCTCCAGGACAATAGAATGAAGTTGGCATTGATTTTGCAGATATAAACATTGGTGAATGCCAGTTTGTTGACTGATGACTACAGCAGATTCTCAGTTAGAGAAGTCATTGCTTTAATTAAAACTTTCATCCCAAAGCTTGCCCAGATGTGTGCTTTGATGTCCTTCAGCTGCTGAGCTGTGACAATTGACTCCATTTGCCTGCATTTTTTTTTATTCATTCACAGGATGAGGGCATCACTGACCAGACAGCATTTATTGCCCAGAGGGGTTCAGAGTCAACCACATTACTGCGTGTCTTCAAATTACATGTAGGCCAAGCCAGATAAGGACGGCAGTTTCCTTCCTTAAAGAACATTAGTGAACCAGGTAGGTTTTCTGACAATTGACAATGGTTTCACGGTCATCATTAGACACTTAATTTCCAATATTTTATTGAATTCAAATTCTACCATCTGCCATGGTGGGATTTGAACCCAGGTCCTCAGAATGTTATCTGGATCAATAGTCAAATGATAATACCACTAGGCCATTGCCTCCCCATCATTAATTCAGTAAATTTGTGAACTACCCGGCCTTCACTCATCAAAACATTATGCCTCTTTGGTCAAGAGCTAAAGAGAAATTGAGAGATTTGCACATATTGTACATTGATAAAACATAAAGTTGGAGTTAAGAAGCCATGGAATCAACAGTGTATCACTTTCTTCACAACTGTGGAGCGATTCCTCACTTGGTTAACTGAAAGTCTCCAGCTACACTCCCCCTCGCAGATCTATGTGCATATGTCTTCCAGAGATACCCTGGGAACTAATGATTAACATGCTCACAAATTCAGTTCAGAGCATAAGGAATAAATGAACATAAACGCACAGAAAAACATGCCATTTAGAGCTACACTGCTAAAGCTAGGTGATAAAGTGTTTGTGAATTGTGATGGATATATTGGAAAGCAAACAACCTCATGACATCCAGAAATTTGCTGTGACCCACAGAAAAAGATTCACGTTCCCTGCTAAATGTGGTTTGCAAATGATTGTATATATTCTTTGAAGTATTGAAAACATGATTTTTGCAAGCATTGAATTAAACTGAATTGAGTCACGTGTATTCAATGTAAAAATACAGTGAAAAGTGGGTACCTTCATTGAATCAAATTCTGACATCAACATCTCAGGTGAAGAACATGAGTTAAATGAGACCAAGCTTGATTTCAGATGACATTCTACCCATGAAAGAAAATATGGTGCCATTATTTATGTCTATCAGCGCAAGCAGAAATTCAGCTTCTTACCAGTTCTTGCTAAATCTCACTGCTCCTTTCCAAGAATTTCAAAGGATGATTCTCTTCATAGCAATGATCCAGCATCGTGATGCCAATGGACACCAAACAACAAACTAGGCTCTGAGCTGGCTTTCCTCACGGTCAACTGACCACGAATCATTTTCCTCTGATTGGAGAAGTATAATGACCTGGATAGGACTGGGCACCTGATGCCTTCTCTTCCTGGGCTACATCAACAGTGTCCCACTGTTAGCTGAAGAAAAGAACATTAAACAGAAATGAGAAATTGTGCCAAAGTTCTTTCCACTGAAGAAGTCCTTTGTGGTAAACTTCCACCCTTTGGGTTGATTTGACACTGGTGCAAATTCGCCATGGTAACACAGGTATAATTACACAGACTTAAACCTTTGACATGTTAGCGTCAAATTATCGAAACCAACTTTGAACAGGTGGATTTCCCTATGGACAATATTACAGATTTTCACTTTTTAAAAAAAAATATAATTTGAAACAAGATGAAAGTTTGCCTGTCTACATTACAAGTAGAGAAACAGGCTAACTGGTCCAACGAGTCGGTTGTATCTGTTGGGGAACCAACCACCAACTTGTGGTTGGTTTAGAATATTACCAGCAATTTTCTTTCTCATTATTTTTAATCACCTGAGTGAATGTGCTATGGCACACCCCTGTGGCAGATGGGACTTCAAATCAGTCCATCTGGCCCTGAGGTAGGGACATTACCCTGTACCACAACAGTCCAAATCCCTTTCTATATTGGATATAAGGGTCTATTTGCTTAGCAATGATAGGGGATTAACAACTAGTGAGTTATAATGAGAAGAGTTAGTTGTCATAATAAGATGCAGTTTATTGCATAATCGCAATAGGGACAAATTAAATTAATTAGTGAGGAATAATAACTAAGGAGGCAATGATGACACATCTGTCTCCATCGAAATATCAAGGTGGATTCAACAAATTGGGTGGAGCTTAATGCAGCCTCCATCATTGCTTCTTTCAGGATTATATTATGCAACACAGTCCATTGCAGCTTTGGCTTTCATTTCAATGTTCTCCCATCCTTCTTCATCTAAATCCAGCAGAAAAATCCTCTATTAATATTGCTAATGTCCTGGCACCAGGACCAAAATCTGGCACTGCCCTGGCTTTGTTCGATGCTCGGACCTACAGGCACCATTTTTCCAGCTGCGATTAACTATAAGACCACCATAAGGGCTGCCGATCTGAGGATTGGCAGCTTAGCAGGATGCCCCCAGCAGGGGCCATTCATGTGTTTGGGGGAACCTGGTGCCTGCCTTTGAGGAGGGGTCTGGGGTTATTATTACATCAATGGTAACCATTGTTGCCAGGGTGATCCTCTTTGCACTACCAAGCACCTATCAAACGTTGCCCCTTCCCCCATAGTTGGAACCCACCAGAGGCCACCAGGGTTTACATGGCATCCTGTCCATATTGTAGGGGGCCTTCCTGATGTGGGTAATATGTCAATGCAGACATCAAAAATGTCAGGAGGCAATGATGACACTTAATTTGAAGACTACTTAAGGGGTTCAACTGGATGCCCATTGGATGGCTAAACTGCCGTATTTCCATCACTGGCAAAATGACATGGTTATGGAAAGACATTGGGTTCCCCTCCCATTGCCTATCTCCTGAAACATAGCCAGTCCTCTCACCTGTCAACCTGTCTACAATGGGTAGAAAAATACAACCTCTGCGTTGACTGTATCAAAATCTTTCAGAATTTAAACACCTCTATTTAACCTAAGATAACAAGGTGTAGAGCTGGATGAACACAGCAGGCCAAGCAGCATC